AAAACAAGACAGCAAGGTGTGCTTTTGCAAAGCTAACTGTAGATTGGTGCATCTTGAACAGCAGTTTTGATTTCCACGCTAATATGTTCAGCTGTCCTGCCCTGAAGGTGCAATTAGCCAATCCTTTATACATATCAGTACATTACACCCCATACCGTGTGCTTTAATTTTGCTAACAAATCTCCTTTAGGGGACCTGTCAAGTCCAGCATGCTCTGATAATTAAAGAGGGAGGGGAAGCAAGGCCAAGGAAGAGTCAGGGCAAGTCAAGCATGAGGAGTTGATATTTGGGACCAGGAAATGTCCCCCAAAATATATTTACAGAGCTTCCCATTTTGGAGTGTTTTGGAATGATATCTTCGAGGGATCACTGGTTAAGCTGTGCTGAGTAGCAAAGGACAGAGAGCATGCGGCTTTGAGATTACAAAATCGACTTGGAGTCCCCTTAATGACAGATGATCTCAATTTGCATGAACTAGCATGACTCCTATTTCAAGATGTACTTGGATAGATAATCAAAAGCTTAGTCAAAGAAGGAGATTTCATGGAATATTGAAGGTAGAGAGAGAGGTAGACAGGCAATAGCATTTGGAGAGGCAGTTCCAGAGGCTGGGACGTCAGTAGGTTTTCTGCCAATTGTGGAGCAAGTAAATTGGGTGCTAAACAAGAGGTCAGAATAAGAAATAGTATGGAGACCTGTAAGGACAGCAGGGCTGAAGGTGGTTGTGGAATTAGGGAGGCAATTTCCTGCCCTATTCCTGACTAATGGGGACAGTGAAAAATATTCTGTGTGTCTGCAACAACAAAGAAAATAGATAACATAGTACATACAAAAATAGCAAAAAATATCATTTCAGCTTCCACAGAGTAATGGCCAGAGTCAAAGAATTTGATCCCTAAACCAACAGTAAAAATCTGCAAAATATCATGTAATAAAAAAATGGATTTAGTCAGAGTATATCAGTGGCACTGCTATTGTCCCCTAGATTGGAAAAAAAGAGCTGTGTTGTCGTAAAAAAAAACAGAATCCACTGATTCACCATGTTCATCACCACAGGAGGTTTGCCAGTTATATTAAAGAAATGAAATCATCCTTCATAACACTGAGGAAGCCCGAGGTGCTCTTAATGACTGGAAAATCACATTGCATATTTGGGAAAAGTGCTTAATTACACTGCAATTTCCACAGCAATTTCCGTTTTATGGCACTTGCTACATTGATTTATCTTCCAACACGAATACTGTTAATATATGTAGAACTACGACAGACTAGAAGACAGAAAACTATATTTGGAGAGGGGTTGGATTGATGGATACAATAGAATACAATAAACTATTGACAGAGATATTTTAGCAACTTAGCTGAGGCTACAGGGTATCAGTTGATCAGAATTGACTTGTCATTTCAAATGGTGTTGTGTGATGTAAATTATGGGAATTATGTGTATAATTTTTAATGTTACTTGTTGTGAGTTTGGGTTTATGGTTTGGAGTTAGTAACAGGTGGGTTTTCTATGATGTCTGATGTTAATAATCGATTTGCAAGTATTTTTGTAGCTATGGTGATTTCTCCTAAAAATGTTTTGGAAGCCTAGATGTTTATTGCGCCATGAATGGATTTTTATTTACTTAGATATCTTTGTGACCCAGAATGGTAGATAATGGGGCATCAAAGTTGAGTAAGTGTTCTGGAACTTGATTTTTTAAGCTTAAGAGAAACACTCATCATTGACAAATAGAGAGAGAGAGACTGAACCCTGATGAGGATCCTTAAAGCTAAGCTATTTCCAGTTCCAATGTAAAAGTTGAAGTCACAAATGACTTAAACTAGCGAAGTGTTAGAATCAGGGTTGCACGTGTATTATGCAAGTGGTGTTTTGAGTAATATACAAATTCTCTTATTTATTTTCAATGAAGGAGTGTTTTGGGATTGATGGAATTATACATGCATTGTGTTTAAAAATCTTTGAATTTGTGTCATAAGTAGGTAGATTAGATTATTTTATTTTATTTTGCAATACACATCCATTTTCTTGCTAAAGAAAATCTTTGGCAGTGTGTGCTTATGTTTCAGTAAGCAATCACTTTGATAAAACCAAAACAAATAAAAATTCAATTTATCAAGCCAGGCTCCTAGGATCTGACATGTTTTGTTATAAGATTACCTGGGATCATAAGTTACTGATAATTTTTAATTTTCATAGACTGAATTATCCTCAATTTCTAGTAGATAATACTGAATACTAAGGGCATTGAATATATGTTTAATTGGTTCTTGCTATCTTGTTGCAAAGCTTTGAATATTATATACATTGGAGGAGACACTAAAGTGTTTCCCCATCCGTGATGGTTGTAAACATTGCATATATTAAAACTACATGAGAAGTAACTTATCCCAGTAAACATTATGGTCCATAGTTAGTTCATGAATACAAGTTTGGCTGTATTAAAGTTCGTGACAGATTTGGGAAGACTTCAGAAACTCATTCCACATCTCCACCTAATGGCTGAAACCTGCAATTTTATTGTGAAAGTTCATACAGCAAAACTAAATATGAAAATTATAGTGTAGCAATATTACAATAGTAAATGTTGATGGAAAGGACTGATTTAAAAAAAAACAGGAAATACAACTTGTGGACATGAAGTGCACATTACCTCCATAAAACTTTAAGATAAAAGATATTACAGAGAAGGGATCATTGAAGACGAGGACATGTGCAGCGATTTCGAAGTTATTTTACTTCCAGTGGGTCCAGTGTTTGAATGTAACTTCAACTTATGGGCTGCATTGCAGATTGTATGTGAGCTTAATAAATGACAACTTCAACTTATCTCTTACTTCTGACAAGTTTGCATCACATAAACTACATACGATTCCCTTAGAATCAGCTATTCCTTTCAACAAGGATGGCTGGTATGAGAAATTGAAACATCATACTCGAAATGAAGCGAGTAGACAGGAAGAACTTTGATTGAAACTGGCTTACATCTTTGAGAGCTATGTAATATAATGCTGATATTGACATTCATAGTATTCACATAAATAAATAATTCACATTTAATGTAGCTCTTCCAAAAACTGAAAAAAATCAAAAGGATGTTCTAAAGGACAGTATGCGTTCAAGAGATTATCTATTTTACTGGAGTAAAATAATCTGATTCCTGTTTCAGGATGACCTCCATTGCACAAAGGCAAAATATTTTAACCAATAGTTATTTTTGAAATTGAGTTGAGAACCAGAAGATACCAATTGAAATGAATGATAAATGAACCAATGACAAAAAATTTCTTAAAAATATAGCCAGTGGTTAGGAGCTGGAATACAGGGACAGTGTGTGGTGGAGATAGATTTAATTGTCACTTTCAAAATGAAATTGGATAATTATGTGAAAAGAACTGTCAGGTCATACAGAAAGTGTTGTAGGGCCTAATGCCCTTCAGTGATTTGTACAGGTACTCTCCTGGATCTCTGATACTACATTTCATTTGGAATTGTATCCTTTATTTGATACTGATGCTCCATATTCTGTCTACCAAAATGAATTACTTCACACTTTCCTGCATTGAACTTCATTTACTACTTATCACCAACCTATGCCCTCTTGAAGTTTATCTCTATTCTCTTCACAGTTCACAATACTTCCAAGTTGCGTCATTTACAGATTTTGAATTTGTTTGCACACCCAAGATATTTATACCAGGAAAAGCAGCTTCAAACAGCAACACCTGGAACGCCACTACATCCCCTATCCAGGCTGCAGCAAACTCAACCATTTACCATTACTGAGACAACAAGGTGCAGAGCTGGATG